GGCTGAAGAGCACCGGGTGCAGGGCGGAACGCTTGGGATATTCCACTGCATAACCCTCTTTCATACAACCCATAACCAAATCATATGAAAGCTTCACATGTTTTCTGTGTGTCTTTTACTACTGTGGTGCCCATACAATTTAGCCGTTCTGATTAAAAAGCGTAGCAAAAGCAACCCACTCAAATACTTTCCCCTATGTCTTCAGATAGCAGACGGGCTACTATTAGCAGTAGTTCCCAGGGCTGCCGCCTCAAAAGGAAATCGCTCCTCCGAAAGCCGCATCTTTCACAAGCCTTTTCCAGCGCGCACGCGCGAGCGAGCGACAAAAAAAGGAGCAAGATATTTTTTTCTCCCACTCTGTCCAATCAGAATCTAATAGAGTTGGCTAATCATGATAGCTCCGCCCACTGGATTCATGTTTTCCGGTTGTTAAGCTTGGACCTCTGATAACGCAACGCTTCTGTGCGAAAGCAGCGCTTGTCAGAAAACATCTGGTTTCTTCTGTGAAGAAGAAAGGTATTTCTTCCCCCCCTTCCCCATGTAAGACGTGTGGTTCTTGAAAGCTCCTTTAAGCCAATGATGTACTCAGTCAATTCTTAAGTAATTGCAGGCTTGCACATGAAAAGTACGGTAAGCTGTACTTTACAGAAACATAAGGTTTTTTTTTCCCCAGCCATGGAGGAATTGCTCTTCAATTCATCAAGCCATCAATAGGTCTTTTCCCTCAAATGGCTTGATTCTTGAAAAGTGATGGTGTGTCATTAATATTCATGAAATAAACTTAGCAAGTGATATTTATTAATACACCCAAACTCCTCCCAGCATTAAAGTGCTTTGGAGAAAAAAGATATTCTCATATTCATTCTGTGATTTTTCTTATTTTACTGGAGCAATGACATGTCCAGAGCTGCTGACCTTTTGCACTAAAAATAAGCAAAGTGTCCGGTGACTCCTTAACAGTTAACATCTTTTTTTTTACAGCATATGCTTCTATTAGAACCCAGCTGTTTGATGAATCTCTGAGAAAGCTTTATCTGCCATAAACGCTAGGCAGTTATTAAGGAACAGGAGCTACTCCTTGGAAATGGGGCTTATTTTTGAGTAAGCAAAAGTCAGATTCAAAATCCATAGGAAAGAAATGCCTTTGTTAGTCTAACTTAACTTTTATTCACAAGATCTAGCAATCTTAAGTCTCTGACGTCAAAACAAGATGTCGAGGAAGCCACAAAGAGCATAAAGAGAGAGATAGCCTTAGAATAGCTTTGACAGGTTCTTTTTTTAAAAAGAAACCTCTAACTAAAGTTGTGGTTTTGTTTGATGGCCCATGGATTGTTGCCCTGTATTTCCATGTGGCTTTCTTACATTGAGCAGCTGATCTGATGTGCTTCTGGCTTGACCAATCTACTGTTTAATGTATGGGACACTCACATTTGAGAATGGTCAGTTTCTCATTGACAAGAGTTTTTTGTCCTCCTGGCTTGTTTCCCTTCCACCTTTTCCATATACCAGCAAGACTTTTCATTGGAGATAGAGAGGAGAATGCCTTGTAATCTTATTCTCTTGTGAGNAGAGTTAATTTTTTAAAACATTTTCTAATGGTGGTGTGCCTCGTGATTTTTTTCATGAAAAAAGTGTGCCTTTGCACAAAAAAGGTTGAAAAACATTGGTCCAGGGTTAAAAGGAGGGAGCTGTCTTAATGCATTGCAGCGTGCCCTGTCAGCAGAAAAACATTTTGAAAACAGAGGGTGGTTTAACTATCACACAGATGACTAGAAAGATAGGTGAAGCTACATTCACCAGGGTGGCCCCTTCTTCCATTGACTGGGATTGATGGTAATTTTTCCTACCTGATGCTGATTTTGGGAGAGAGGAGGAAGGAAGCCAGTGAAATTTGCCAATCTCTCCCCTTAAATTGTCTTGCAGTAAAAATCGTAATTTGCAAGTAATCTGCAAGTCTTCCTTTGGCAGATTCCTTTGGCAGATCAGTTGGGACAGCACAAATTACTTAATGAGTTTTCCGTTGGCTTAGGAACTGGAGGAATGCACTGTACCTCAAGAGCACTTAAGAAGATCTTACAGATGTCCTCTCCAGATCTCTTATCTGGCATGCCCATCTATTGACACCTACGGATTAATGTTGCTTATTAAATTAAACCAGGAAGTTTTGATTCTGCTAGGTAGCTCTTCTTTGAAATGTGACACAGTCCAGATGTGGGCCATTCTTGATGCAGGGATGGGCCGAAAGCAGGTCTGGATGTGCAACAGAAAAACATTGGCAAAGGTTTCTGATTCATTTGCTTTGATAATTCTGTCAACAAAAGAATACTGTTCAAATAAAGCAAGTTGAATAACTGAGAATAGATTTTTGTCTAGCATGCTTTAGAAAGGGGAAGGGAAGGGGCCTGCTGCCTCCGAGCTGCTGGTTTTGAAAAATCTCATAATACTCTGGATGTACCTTGCTTTTTTTCTAGTTGCTTCCAGCTAGTTAACGTGCTTGCACGGGGAACATTGCATGAATACATCAGTTAAGCTTTCCCAAAGTGATGAGTATCATAGGTCACAAGAATAAAAAAAAAAAGAACCACCACAGTCCTCCAATTATTTACTTACAAAAACCTTGAAGAAGCAGTTTCAACCGAGTAAATAACATGTGCCTGACCTAAGAGTAGGTCTCTGAACACCTCTGTTGATTCTTTTAGTCAAGGGCACAGTGTCAGCATAAGGCCTCTTGCTAGTTTTTTCCCCATGTGCCGTGTTATGTGTTGATTTACTTTTAACCGGAGTTGAATCTTTTGCTTTTTGTGCTGATCTTTGATTTTAAGCAAATAATGACTGGCTTTGTCTCAGCTTAAGGAAGAGAATGTATCAATGCTGCCCCTAACTGCCAAGATAGCTCAAGATAGCAAGGTAGGAAAAGTTGTTTTATCTTACTTTTTAATTTGATATTTAAATACAATCATGCCAGCTACAAGCGGCCAGCTCCCACTCTTAAACTACTATTTATTGAATAAGACAAAATAGGTTGTATTTGCACAGCACATTAACTAATAAATAATAGTTTACGAATCACAATAGCTGGTTTTATAAAACATATTAAACCATAATATGGTGAAACATGGGAAGTAACCTCACAATTGATATGAAGGATAAGAGTGGTGCAAAGAGCCATGGAAAGATACATGCCTGGCATCAGAAGACAAGATAGAAAGATGTGCACATGGCTTAGAGAACAAATGAAAGTATAGGATATCATCAAGAGAATAAAAGAATTGAAATGGAAATGAACGGGTCACATAGGAAGAAGAACTGATGGCAGGTGGACCAAGGCGGTCATAGAACAGATCCCATTTGATAAAAAGCGTCCATGAAAGAGATCTAAAACAAGATGGATCAACGACATCAGCAAGTATTGCGGGCTCAATTGGGAAAAGAAAGCTTAGGACTGTATCGATTGGAAACATGCAGAAATGGCCTTCATCCTACAATGGCTATTAGCCATTAGACAATGGCTAAAGTGATAATGATGTTGATGATGCTGAAACCAAAAGAAAAATTACCTTGTGGCAGATCATAATGCAACTGGTTGCCAGTTGCCAATGTAATTTTCTCCAAATAGGATCATTCAGTCAAGCTTATGAATGGTCACATTCTTTTCATCCCATCAGGACAGTCTATGGCTTAAGAACTCCTACATACCTTTCTGGTTTTTTTTGGAGAATTAAATATGTCTACTAGAATTAGTTGAAATATTATAAAAAGTTACATGGTGTAAGTAGTTTTGAACTTTGAAATTTAATAAAATTTGTATGCCGCCCACTCCATTGGGACTCTGGGTGGCTTACAGACAAGATAAAAAGCATTTAAAAAATTAAAGATAAAAAAAATACAGTTGTTAAAATTGCACACCATCCATTCTGTCTAAGTGGGGCTGGACATTGATCAACAGCCCCAGGCCTGCCGGAACAGCCAGGTCTTGGTGGCTTTTCGGAAAGCCGGAAGAGTGGTAAGGGTCCGGTAATCATTTTAGCAACAGTATTTTTTAGCTTGCACTCAACCCCTAGTGACTTCAAGGCTATGTTGAGTAGATTTCTTGGCAACCAATCATGTAGGCGCCTATTCTTCAAATTCATACCCCTTCTTCCTCTTTCTCTTAGCAGAACATGGCCAAGGCAAAGATTGTCGTCGTTGGGGCTGGTCTGATCGGTTTATCCACCGCTGTGTACATTTCAGACTCCATTACAAACTGCACTGTGTCTGTCATAGCTGATAGATTTTCTCCTAACACGACCAGCGATGTTGCTGCAGGGATGCTCATCCCACATCTTTATCCAGGCAAGCAAAATTTACATTTCAGAAAGCAAAATCTGAAGTTGCCCAAGTATTTATATTATGTCTACTTTTTTTTCCAATTTTTACTTTGTAGCCCAAAATCAATTTTCTAGGAAGTATAGCTGCGGTTTTAAGAGACATTTTTTCCAGCCTCTTAACTGGTACATTTTGAGTAAGACAGCTGGAGCTGCTGTAATTTATTCAGAAAGAAACAATATCTGCTTATCTTTAAGACTAGATGCCTTTCTAAAATTTCCAGAATAACTCCATGCTCTATGATGGTACAAGCTATTACTTTTTCCGGACAGTGTTATGGTCTATCTTACCTTGAATCTAGGGAATAATAGTATCCTGACATTTTACACATGCCATTCTAGTTGTACATATGTTATATTCCATGACACAATTGTGATGATAATGATGACAGTGATGATACAAATTGTGTTTGGCAATAGGTTTCCAACACATGGTATAGGTTCCCCTCACACATATGTGCTAGTTGTTCCCGACTCTAGGGGGCGGTGCTCATCTCTGTTTCAAAGCCAAAGAGCCAGTGCTGTCCATGGTCATGTGGCCGGCATGACTAAACGCTGAGGGCGCATGGAACACTGTTATCTTCCCACCAAAGGTGGTTCCTATTTTTCTACTTGCATTTTTACATGCTTTCGAACTGCTAGGTTGGCAGAAGCTGGGACAAGTAACGGGAGCTTACTCCGTTACGCGGCACTAGGGATTCAAACGGCTGACCTTTCTGATTGACAAGCTCAGCGTCTTAGCCACTGAGCCACCACATCCCTTGCTTCCACACATGCATATATTCTACAATTGGCCTATATGGGACTTTCCTATTTCATCTATAAAAGTTCACATGATTTTGATTTAAGTTCCTCATTTCTTGCATTAGACTCTACAAAGAGGGAGTCTCAATTAGGTGAAAATGTGATGCTGGCTTGTTGCACTCGATCTCCTTCTAACAAGTAATTAATTTAGTCAGATTCTGAATGGTATCAATAACAGAATAACCAGGAGTGGGAGAAGCTTTCTTGGAGCCATTTTTTTTTAAACTTAGGATACTCTTTACGGTTGCCCTCATTTTGTGAGAAAAATGTAACACACTTAAAGGATTTACACTTTCGTTGTTTAGCAGTTACAAATGGGATGGCTTACATTCCCTCTACAATCACCAGGCCAAGGCTGCCTCAAAGGTTGCCCACTGTGTGTCTGCCATTGTGCCTCAATGTCTACGCAACAGCCTCTTCTTTATTCTGAATTCTTGTCCAGGGGGTAGGACAAGAAGTAATGGGTGGAAGCTTGTTAAACAGAGAGCCAATCTAGAAGTAAGGGGAAATTTTCTGACAGTGAAAACAATTGATCAATGGACTAGCTTGCCTCCTGAAGTTGTGGATGCTCCATCATGGGAGGTTTTCAAAAATAAACTGGACAGCCATTTGGGATCATATAAGGCTCCTGACTTGAGCAGGAGTTGGAGTAGAAGACCTCCCAGGTCCCTTCCAGGCATATGATTCTATGTTCTATAAATTCTGTAACTACATCTGCATCTAAACGTATGTACTAGCTGTCTATCTTGGGAGCTAGTAGCTCCTGTTTTCAGCTGCATTTGTAGTTAGGACTCACAGGAAGAATCCAGCATCATTTTGTGTAATTAGCCTCTATGTCCATCATGGAGAACCTATGGGATGTGTGCCAGAAGTGGCATGCAGAGCCATCTCCGGGCACGCCAGCTGTTGCCTGTTGCGTGTGGGAGCGCTGGAAACCAGAAGAGCAGCTCCCTGGCATAAATGTGCGCCCCGGGAAGCTGAGCTTCCAGTTTCCAGCACCGCATGCACGCCAGCCAGCTGGTCTTTGCACATGCGGGAGCACCAAAAAGAGGAAGAGCAGTTCCCTGGCGTGCATGCATGCACTGGGAAGCTGCTCTTCCGGTTTCCAATGTTCTCCCCCCACGTGCTTGCGTGCTCCCATTTTGGCACTCGGTGCTGAAAAGGTTCACCAACACTGCTCTATGTCAGGGTTCCGAGTAGTGGCCCAATCACTCTATGCAAACCAAACTATTGTCACATATCACTTTATTCCACATGTTTAGCAAAATGTGGAGAAATGGATCATAAGGAAGAGTTCTGCTCTTGCTGAAGGAGAGGAGTGAGAAAAGACCATGGTGATTCCTCTTTCTCCTCTACAACTCCTTGTCGTTTGGGAAAATGTGTCCTGGAGGTCTGGATGACCTCCCAAAATAGGATGAATAGTATGGAGATTTGGGGGCTGAGATGTTTCACAGACCCCATCTTCGTCCCTTGCTTCCTGTGTGGAATCTGCTTGATTCTCAAAACCTTCTCTTAGCAATTTGTATCCAATACATAAATTTCAGTGCAGCCCATTTTATGTCTGCTTTTTCTGGATTTTCTTAAAATGCTTTCCCTCCATTTGAAATGTGTTTTCTTTCTTCTCTACAGGCACACCTGTTGATCAGCAGAAGCAGTGGTTTAGGGAGACTTTTGACCATCTGTTATCCATCTGTAATTCCTCAGAGGCCTCAGAAGCTGGGATTCACTTGGTATCTGGGTGAATATAGAGTTCATTAATGCTTTTGTGATTTCTTTCAGCGTTGTGCTGAGCAAGCCTCTTTATTAGGACAAATTTGGGAGGCATATAATACTGGGGTGGGGGGCAGGAGAGAACGTCTTGAGTTCTGCAGAACACAAACATTTATTTTAGATTTATATCTCGTAATACTTAAACTGGCTTCAGAATTTATTTACGGAAACATTAATATGTTGTAGTAGCACTTGTTTTTCCCTTTAAAAAAAAAANCCCCCCACAAAATAGCCAAGGCATTCTATGCAAAATAGGATCACTAATCTAGTGATTACCTTGCAAACTAATGTATTGTTATATAGTGATTTAGCATATTGTTAGCCATATCCCATTGTTTGGGAAGGACACAAGGACACATTCAGGATGTATTATTTAAATAGGATGATGGCAATGGTAATAATATCTAAAAATTCATTCGGAAATCAACGCAAAAGTTCTAGGAGCCAACTAGCTTTGATTCTTTAAGTGAATGGTTTATTTTTTCTTGTCAGATTCTGAATTATAGCTTGTAGATTGTGAATTTTAATCTTTCTGCAGATTACAGAATGGTGGGAAAGTTGTCTAAGACAGATAATTTCTTTAGCAATAAAAGTCAACTCTCTACATGATCTGTGAATCAGGCCACTGCATATGTTTTCCAGAACAGTTTTCTCCAACCCAGAGGTCATTCATATGTGTGGATTTCAATACCTAGAAGTCCCATGACAACATTTGTTTTTTCTAATTAATGAAATAAAATAAAGCAAAGCATATTATATATGTGGTTTTAAAATCCCACCTTAATAAAAAAAGCATGAATGCTTGCAAATAAAACACAAAACTTAATTGGAGGGAAGGGTTTATCTTCAATTTATAAGCCTATATATCAGATGCTCAAAGAGAACTCTGAGAAGAGCCTCAGAGAAGTTTAGAAAGTCCTTCGTTCTTCCAAACCTCTTGCAGTATGATTTTTGAAAGGATGGGTATGGCAGGAATCCACACACATTGAAAAAACTGCTGTATTCTTTCCTAGAAGGGACAAAGAACAAATATTTCAGCTGTTCTTTTAACTGGTAACCCTTTCCAGGTAATATATTTGGGGAATTATCAACTGGTTTATTTTTTCTTGCCAAGTTCGAAGTTCATATTCTTGTTTTGAAGCAAAACAGATCAGTAAAATGGCAAAACTGCATAGAAAGTTCAAGCTTTTCAGCTATTTTTAAATAGATTGCAAAAGGCATCCTGTTCAAGCCCATTAAAAAACTCAACTTGTTTCCTAAACTGCCATCTATTTATATATAAATCAAAGATAAAATCACTGTAGAATCTAAGTCTGGAGCAAAGGTATATTCCAAGATAGTGTTTCTGAAAATATATGTACATTAACCACTTACATGTCAAATTGATACCCAGTGCCACAAATCTCTGCCAAGTTGTCATTTACTACACTTCAAAACAGCAATATTTCAGCTCCTCAATCCCTCCATACTGTTTACGTTGTTGAAGGGATCATCTTCCCTTTTGCAGCCATTGGATACTGAGGACAGGATGGGATCATCATGAACCTCTCTTTGCAGCTGACCAATTGAAAAGTACAAAACATCCCCATGATCGCGTCTACTATTCTGATTCAAGATATAGATAAATATTGCAGATAGATCCACAGCACATACACACACACACAAATCACAGAAAGCAAAAACAATTTAAAGAATTGTTAAGTAATTCCCCACTCCCTTCAAAAAAATGAAATATTTGTTTTAAATGGCTAGCGCATGCAAGCAAACATATCCATGTTTTTACTATATGTGCGATTGGACATTTGTAAAATGGGGACAACAACTGAGCATTTATAAGAGAAAGCCTGGCTGTCAAGTCATTATTTACCCTGCATTTCAAATGTTTTTGTCTTCTTCTGTCATATGTTATGGCATGCAAGTTATATGTGACACTGACACACAATGCTGTAGCCGTGAACTGACTTTGGCTGGTTGAGGCTGATATGGGCACATTATTTTTCGCTTCCGTCCCCATTCATTCTCTCTCTCTCTCTCTCTCTCTCTCACTCACTCACTCACTCACTCACTCACTCATTATAATGTTAAACAAAGTTTTTTTTAATTTTTTTGTTACATATTTTAACTTCTTTTATAAACAAAGTGTCCAGTTTTCCCCCTCTTTACATTTTCTTTTATGCATAGTTCATTTTACATCATATTTTCTTTTTACATTTCAGTCATCTTATTTTCATTCCATATTCTTCCACTTAGTTTTAATTTCTTCTTAATATATAAACACTATCATTATTTGCCTCGCTAAATTAATCAAATGTAACATATCATTTCCATCTATTATTCTGTTTTACACTTAATAACGTATATCCTGATTTAATTTATATAGTAAACATTTCATTTTATTAATTATTCACAAGTAATACTATTAATCTATTTCCCTCACATCATATTGAATATATACCCTTGGCTGTATTTACTAGTAAATCCTTTTCTTTCTTTCCTCCATTTTCTCTTAGTTTCTCAGGAACTTTACTTCTCTCCTATTCTCTTCTCTCCACCCATTTACCTAGTTTTTCCTCATTATTGTGCTCTGCCAATAGAGCCGAGGTGGCGCAGTGGTTAAATGCAGCACTGTAGGCTACTGCAGTTCAGCAGTTCGGCTGTTCAAATCTCACCGGCTCAGGGTTGACTCCGCCTTCCATCCTTCCGAGGTGGGTAAAATGAGGACCCGGATTGTTGTTGGGAGCAATATGCTGACTCTGTAAACCGCTTAGAGAGGGCTGAAAGCCCTATGAAGCGGTATATAAGCCTAACTATTNATGAGGACCCGGATTGTTGTTGGGAGCAATATGCTGACTCTGTAAACCGCTTAGAGAGGGCTGAAAGCCCTATGAAGCGGTATATAAGCCTAACTATTGCTATTGCTATTGCCAGGCTGGCTTAGGCTGCAGGAAAAAAATGGACACTGTACTTTTAAAACTTGACAACTTTAAGAAGTGTGGACTTCAACTCCCAGAATTCCCTAGCATGTTGATCTACAACAGGGGTGTCAAACTGGTGGCCCAGCCCAGTCCACCTCCGCAAAGGGGAACACATAGTGAAACATCACATGACCTGGCGAGTTTGACTCCCGTGATCTACAATGTCTGATTTAGAAAAAAACTGGTCTAGAATGTCTTGATATTCTAAAAAGGAGTGGATGAAGCATGCCTGACACGCCTTTGGAAAGTAGCAGTCTTCTGATAGACCACTGGGCCTGTTATTAAACATAGGGTTAAAATAAATCCAATCTCTCTCTTTTCATTTGTTACTTTAAGAAAAAAAAATAAGAAAAACTAGTTAAATTTGCAACATTAACAAAATGTTTTGATAAATTTACTTCATTTCTAAATCATAGGAAGTGTCTTTTCCATTTCTTAAAACTTTGGCATGTTGATTGTTTATATAGACATCAACTGTATTCATATGTTTTATTGAGCTATCATGATTGTTTTATTCCCATCTGTTGTATTTCACCAATAAACAAAGATAATATCATTAAACAAATGTTCAAGAGTCTTTCACTGGATCCAAGGGGGGAAAAGAGAAAGGGGCTGTGGGCTGATTTAACAGGGAAGAAGCTACATTGCTGGTTCTGCCTCCAAAAACTGTCAACATGTTTTGTTGTTTTTGCCAACAAAGGGTTTGGCACATTTATTACCTTTTTTATGACTTTGGAAGGAAGGATGTGCCATTTTTCTTATTCAGTGCTATTTTGCTGTCCCGCCTGGGATAATTTCAGGTGCAACCACTTGCTAGCAACTCATTATCTTGTAGCAGTATTAACGTGGAATATTCTGGAGCTGGAGTAAAAGTGGCAGGTGTTCTCTGCCAGATTCCCTTCTAACTCAAGTGACAGGAAGGCTGATTGATCTATTACAGGCTACCAGTTTTCTGGAGCTTCTGTGTTGTGGGGTGGGGAATGGTCCAGGGCAGTGTTTTTCAACCACTGTGCCGCGGCACACT